CTTCCATCATGTCGTTCACATATACCAAAAATAGCACTGGTCCTAGGACCGACCCCTGTGGGACCCCGCTCGTCACAGGTGCCCACTGTGATACATCATTACGTACCATGACTCGTTGTTGCCTCCCTGTCAGGTATTCTCTGATCCATTGCAGTGCTCTTCCTGTTATATGAGCCTGTTATATAGACAAAGGTCTATAGTGTAGTGTCTCTTTTCTGTCTCCTTTTTTAAACATGGGAACTACATTTGCCGTCTTCCATACCTCAGGTAGTTGCCCAGTTTCCAGGGACGTGTTGAAGATTGTGGTAAGTGGCACACACAACATATCTGCTCCCTCTCTAAGGACCCACGAGGAGATGTTGTCCGGTCCCATTGCCTTTGAGGTATCTGTATGTGTCATCCAACACTTGTTGGTATATTCCTTGCTGGTGTCCCCATCTGGTCTGTCCCCCGAGAAGCCTTCCTGTCTCCACTGTAAATACTTTCTTAAATCTCATGTTGAGCTCCTCACATACCTCTTGATCTTTTCTTGTGAGTTCTCCACCTTCTTTCCTCAGCCTTATCACCTGGTCTTTGACTGTTGTCTTCCTCCTAATGTGGCTGAACAGCAGTTTCGGGTCAGACTTTTCTTTCGATGCTATGTCGTTTTCGTACTGTCGCTGGGCCTCCCTCCTTATCTGTGCATACTTGTTTCTGGCTTTTCCACTAATCTCCTTGTTTTCCTGGGTCCTTTGCCTCCTGTACCTTTTCCATTCTCTGGTACACTTAGTTTTTGCCCCCTACACCTTCGGGTAAACCAAGGACTCGATTTGGTCTTCCTATTATTTCTGTTTCCCTTGGGAACAAACCTTTCCTCTGCCTCCTTGCACTTTGTTGCAACATATTCTATCATCTCGTTTACTGATTTTCCTACCAGTTCTCTGTCCCACTGAACCTCCTGCAGGAAATTCCTCATACCTGTGCAGTCCCCTCTTTTGTAGTTTGGCTTTTCCCATTCAATTCCTGTTACCTTCTCCACTTGTAACTCTACTATATAATCAAAACTCAGAACCACATGATCGCTAGCTCCAAGGGGCCTCTCGTAAGTGATGTCCTCAATGTCTGAACTGCTCAGGGTGAACACAAGATCCAGTGTTACTGGCTCATCCTTCCCTCTCTCTCTGGTAGTGTCCCTGACATGTTGATGCATGAGGTTTTCAAGTACCACATTCATCATCTTGGCTCTCCATGTTTCAGGACCCCCATGTGGCTCCAGGTTTTCCCAGTCGATCTCCCTGTGGTTGAAATCGCCCATTACCAGTAACTTTGCTCTGCTCGAATGAGCTCTTCTTGCCACCTCAGCCAGAGTGTCCACCATCGCCCTGTTGTTTTCTTCGTACTCCTCTCTTGGCCTCCTGCAGTTCTGTGGTGGGTTATACATCACTCCAATGACTACTTTATGTTCTCCAGACTGAATTGTACCTACTATGTAGTCTCTTTTTCCAATCACATCCATGCCTTCCATTTCCTCAAATCCCCATTGGTTTTTTATGAGCAGTGCAACTCCTCCTCCCCCTCAACTCCTTTTACCTTTTCTCAAGATCTGATATCCCGGTGGGAAGATTGTGTCTGTTATTGTCTCAGCAAGTTTTGTTTCTCTGACTGCTATGATCTCTGGGGATTTTTCACTGATTCTTTTGTGCCACTCCTCATGTTTATTCGTTATTCCGTCCATGTTTGTGTACCAAACTTTCAGCTTCTTTTCTATCACTGTGGTCCTGCAAGAATATTGGGTTGGGGGAGTGGGAGCCTATGGGGGGCTGTGGTGTAGGTGGGGTTTGTGATGATGGGCGTGGGGTCAGAATGCCCAGAAGGGACAGCTGTTGGGGTGAGGTTTGTGATGTGGGTGTTGCTGGAAGAGGGAACAGTGAGTGGGTTGTGGTTTGGGTTGCTCAGTTGTGTTGGGATTGTCGCAGTTGGAGTCTTTTGGTGGGAGATTTTGTGGGGTGTGTTTGCCCTTCCTCCTGTGTCTGGGTCCTGCTCATCTTCATCATTGCCTCTCGTTCCTCCTTGCATCTCTGTACCCTCTCTTTCAGTGTAGTCCTTTCTTATTGTGTTCTGTCGCGATCGAGGTATACTCTCTAGTACCCCTGTTTGTCCCTCAGTCGTGCTTTCTCTTGCAGAATCCTGGTTCAAACTGATTCTTCCTTGAAAATTACTTTGACAGGCCATATCCTTCCACTTGCAAACCACTCAGTTCTCTGAAAATTTGTCACCTGGGTCATATCGCCCTCACCTATTGTTTTCATGATGCCTTCAATAATTTTTTCCTCCTCCTGTTTTATATCTTCGAAGTTGTCCCCCTTGGCTTCTTGGAGCCCATAGATAAAAACTGACCTCTCCCTTTCCTCCTCCCACTGAGTCTCCATTTGCATCCTCTGAGGTGTTTTATTTCCTTCCATTGAAATGTTCTTGCCTTCAGTCCCTGTCCTATCTGAAACTTCTATTCTCAGGGAACTGTCTTTCATGATCAGTTGTTCGTTGCTACTGCAGCTGGCTGTTAGAGTCTCTGCATATAACATACCTTCATTGTCTTCAGACCTGTCATTTAATCTTACTATGCTCCTCGTCTTTTCCCTGGTCCCACGTGGGTCTGATAGGGCCTTCATGTACGGCATATCTCCTTTGTTTCTTACCGTCCCCTTGTCTGTGCCTGACATAGAATTTCCTGTTGTTGCATCAGAATTATCATTTGTCTCTCTAATCTGTTTTAAGTTTTTCAGTTTCTCTTCTAAGCACAGTATCCTAGCTTCTGCTGCTAAGACCTGTAGCTCCCACTTCCTGCACTCTTCAGCTATCTGCTCCTCCATTATCTTGCCAAGCTCTTCTATCTTCCTTCCCCACTCTTCCTTCCTTTTTTGGAGCTCTAACTCCCAATCTTTCCTCCCTGGTTCATCCACCAGATCTCTGGTTTTCCGCCCTCTAGGGTCACCCATTGTTTTTATTACCACAGAAGGAAGCTTATGTATTTTACCACAGAGAGAAGTTTATGTGTTTTCAGGGTGTGTGTGTGGGGGGAGGGACTAGGCTAGAGGAGAGAGAAAATAAGAGGGGGAAGGCTAGAGGAGGGAGAGAGTAAGAGGGGGAGAGTTAAAGGGTAGAAAGAGGGAGAGAGAGGAGGGAGGATGGGGGTGAGGGATAAGACTAGGGGGCGAGAGAGAGAAACGAGAGGGGGGGAGAAAGGGTAGAGAGAGGGAGAGGAGAAAGAGAGAGAGAGATAGAGAGAGGGAGAGAGGAGGGTGAGGGAAAAGGCTATGAGAGAGAGAAATGTGAGGGAGGGGAGAGAGAGAAAGATAGAAAGAGGGAGGGGAGAGAAGGCTAAAGAGGAGGGTAGAGAAAGATAGAAAGAGGGAGGGGAGAGAAGGCTAAAGAGGAGGGTGGGAGAGAGAGGGGGAGAGGTGAGGGAACGCGAGGGAGGGGGAGAGAGAAAGATAGAAAGAGGGAGGGGAGAAAAGGCTAAAGAGGAGGGTGAGAGAGGGGGAGAGGTGGGGGAATGCCGTCAAATTCCAAGGATCAGTTGGGTGCGTGTGTGTACTCACCTAGTTGTGGTTTGGGGTCGAGACTCAGCTCCTGGCCCTGAGTGTGTGTGTGTGTGTGTGTGTGTGTGTGTGTGTGTGTGTGTGTGTGTGTGTGTGTGTGTGTGTGTGTGTGTGTGTGTGTGCGTGTGTGCACGTGAGCACGTGAGTTGTTTATGTGTCCCAGAAATACGCCTCACCTCTATGTATCCATAATACTAATAAAATACCATTAATACTGAGAGTAATTCTAATAATTGTAATACTAGTGTGTGTTAACGAGTCTTTCTTTCGCCCAGTTGTGTACTACCTTTTACTACATGTGTACCCAATACTTGCTTCTCAGATTGCACTTTGTGTGTTTCCTAAAACTCTTAAAACTGTTGTCAGGGCTGTAGTCCTATTGGCCCCAACTTACTCCTCCTGCCTATTCTTTGCTCCTACAAATTTTATTTTCCTACTACTGCTAGGTGTTGTGTGTACGATAATCACTCTGGAGCAGGGTTTGTGACAGCCAGCTACCAGTGATCGTAGGGCCGGCTCTACCACCCAAACTACCCCCCAGCCACAAACAGGTGATTTGTACCTTACAACTAAGAGGGGACGTCCATCCAGATGCTTGCTGTACGATGCTCGCTGTACGATGACTCTCGTGCTCCTCGCCCTTCCGTGTGTGTGTGTACTCACCTATTTGTACTCACCTATTTGTGGTTGCAGGGGTCGAGTCGTAGCTCCTGGCCCCGCCTCTTCGCTGATTGCTACTAGGTCCTCTCTCTCCCTGCCCAATGAGCTTTATCATACCTCACCTTAAAACTATGTATGGTTCCCGCCTCCACTACGTCACTACATGTGTGTGTGTATGTGTGTGTGTGTGTGTGTGTGTGTGTGTGTGTGTGTGTGTGTGTGTGTGTGTGTGTGTGTGTGTGTGTGTGTACTTACCTAGTTGTACTCACCTAGTTGAGGTTGCGGGGGTCGAGTCCGAGCTCCTGGCCCCGCCTCTTCACTGATCGCTACTAGGTCACTCTCCCTGAGCCGTGAGCTTTATCATACCTCTGCTTAAAGCTATGTATGGATCCTGCCTCCACTACATCGCTTCCCAAACTATTCCACTTACTGACTACTCTGTGGCTGAAGAAATACTTCCTAACATCCCTGTGATTCATCTGTGTCTTCAGCTTCCAACTGTGTCCCCTTGTTACTGTGTCCAATCTCTGGAACATCCTGTCTTTGTCCACCTTGTCAATTCCTCTCAGTATTTTGTATGTCGTTATCATGTCCCCCCTATCTCTCCTGTCCTCCAGTGTCGTCAGGTTGATTTCCCTTAACCTGTGTGTATGTGTGTGTGTGTGTGTGTGTGTGTGTGTGTGTGTGTGTGTGTGTGTGTGTGTGTGTGTGTGTGTGTAATAAAATTGAGACTTCATTGTTTGATTTCCTTTGTGATGGCAGGGTTCACGGTGTCTCCGGGCTACGGGTAGTGGATGCCTCCATTATGCCCGTCATCGTCTCAGGCAATACCAATGCTCCAACTCTTATGATCGGAGAGAAGGCCGCCGATCTCATTAAGGAGGACTGGAATGAGTCTGGACATAGATGACTTATCAACTGAGAATTACTGTACTCGCTCATAATCGGCTACACCTGAACTCTAAGAGAAGGTTGCTGATCAAAAAATAAAAATAAAGAACTGTTTCCCTTCCTCAGCTTATTCAAGGCCCAGCCATGTCCCATCCCCAGGATGTGACGGACAGCAGTTACCTGAAACCCTGCTACTCTACGTATTTACTACTAGGTGACCAGGGGTTAAACCTGTGTCTTTCGGTTATTAAAGAAAGCGCTACTACTATTTAGCTACATGGCTTAGAGTTGGACAGTGTGTGTAATTTTGATTCGGGTGTCATACAAACTTCCTTTAACATACACTACTGTATGGTAACATTATCAGAGAAGGGGTCGCAAATGCAACTGGAACTCGTGTCAGTCTTATAAAATAAAGATATAAGTTAATTAATAACTAATGCGATTTCGAGGCTTTAAAATTTTGATTCACAGGTTACACAATTCTTTTGTCTAAGACTTGAATCTGGGATCCCTGCCACAGACATTGACAGTACGTAACACAGATCGTGGCACTCAGGAAGTATAGTGTTTTCGATGTATATATTCGACAGATTATTGTATGTTTAATTTAAGGTAATACACATTATCAAAGTTTTAGGTTATCTTTATTTATGAAAAGTATTCGCTACAGTTAGGCTTCTTCAAGTTAAGTCAAGAAAAGTATAAAACGACAATATTGAAACGTTAATAGCACATTCACTCTGGATATTTTTGTAGGTTTCAGCCATCAGTCTTTGAAAGACAGTTCTAGGAAAAAATAAGGAAACAGTCAGAACTTATATACAAGATGAGGTAACAGTAGCCTCATTTGTAGTGTCATGTCTTCCCAACCCAGCTGTATTCACTAGTAGGGTGTCGAAGTCAGCAATGGTCTTACTTCAAATATGTGTTGAGTGGTTGTAAGATAGATATGACAATTTAAATGGAATAAAAATACCCAGAAAGTTAGGTAGCATCGATATGCTCTTATTCATAGAGTTTAAACTTTACCCAACGATCGCATACTGTCTACTAACATCCTGTCCGACAATCTTATACCATTTTAATGAATCATTAGCAATGTATTTCATTATGATGATTGAACAATACATTTTCAAGTTTAATAAAGAAAGTATATTTCCACCTGATTTTGAATTAAAAAAGAATATTGTGCGTAGTTTAGCCTAACTTCAAAATTATTGGGCTTGAGCCAAAGGAAAATCACAATCTAAATCTTTAAGACACATTAGCACATCTGGAAATATTTACTGTTGACTGTTGCCATCATGGCTTCATCAAACAGATTCTGGCATAATAGGGAAAGAAAGAAGAACTATATACAAAAGGATTGAGTAATAAGTAATCATCTTTGTATATAGTTCTACTGTCTTCCTATTATGTCCTAGAATCTGTATTGATAAAGCCACTGGATGGCGAAACGTCTACAATAAAGATATCCAGATGTTGCACATGTGTCTTAACTTTCAAAATTATGACTGTTGAGTTGGTTTGTTAAGATAAGATATGCACAGAATTTTAACTCGGAAAATTAGACACCCAGGATAACCCATGAAAGTCAGTGCGTCATCGAGGATTGTCTGTCTTATTTCCATATGAGTCCTTCAATCTTGTCCCCCAGGATGCGACGCACACCAGTCTACTAACATCCAGGTACCGACTAAATGCTAGTGAACAGCAGGTGTAAGGAAACATGCCCAGTGTTTCCATCTATGCCGAGGATTGAACAATGGACACTCAAGTGTGTGAAGCAAGAACATTGCCAACCTAGCAACGGGACACCATAAAGTAATTTCGGTGGGTCGTAGTTTATCTTAACGAGATGAAACTCGTTATTTGCAGAGTCCTGAGCCTGCAAATGGAAAGGGAGGGGGTCACAATCTTTAAATCTTTAAGGCATTATTACACATTTAGCTCTTCTTGAGAGGAAATATGTTACCTGTTGCTGTTACTGATGAGCTTCAATGCAAGACAGATATTGGTAACAGGGAAGAGAAAGCCAAGACTTTACACAAAGCGATTTCAGTAGACTAAAGTTCAAGTCAAGCCTGTTGTATTGACTGTCATACATCATTAATGAATGGAGATTATTCCAGTAATTTACGCAGGTTCAGGTTAAATAAAAAAGCGTAAAATTAGTATGGATCATTCAACTCATGGAAAATGTTTAATTCCAGGAAGAGGAGGGTGGCTTCAATTTCTTTGATAAAGAGTCTTTCACCAACATCAAGAGTTAGCTAATCTAAAATATGGGATGAATGAACTAGTAAGAGTAATATACACTTGTAACGATTCAAAGTTTTGTCGGAGCCTCGTCGAAGAGTGTCATGTGATAGTCCAGAGCCTCGTGTAGCTGCGAAATTCCTTGCGACCATCAACCGCAATCCATTTGTTTTTATACCCAGCAACCTGCAGCCATCAAACAGGCGGTGTGACTGGCTCTTGTTCCCTATTATCATTAACAATCAGTTTATAGGTTGGGTTACATAAAGCTATAAAACACACAGATTACCACTGATAAGCAAATTGGAAAAAAAACGCCACTCATCTGGGAACTAACTGCTGCTTAAATAGCTTCGGCCTTTTTTTTTTTTACCTTACCTGAAGTACTCAAGTAAGGTTATAATTCCATATAACGTGTAAGTCTTCATGTTATAAAAGTACGTATTTTAAATGCCAGAGCCTGGGCAAAGGGCTGAAATTAATATATACCTTCAAGACTTAAATTAATGTGTTTCCTCAATATTTGTTGCTCTGTTTGAATGAACAAAAGAAAATAATAAAAAACTTCACTTGATGAAGTAAAATTTATTCTTATTCTGTATAAAAGAAACATGATTTAACATTAATGGATGGTAACATACAAATAGGCATGTTACCCCAGAAAAACCATTCCTGTGCATTTATAGGTAGATTATGTGTAAATTTTTTCAATGTATCTTTTGCGCTAGATTTATATTGTGGTTTTTCTGAAGTTAGTATAGTCTACATAAAGAATACTCATTGGTGTTTGTCTACACTTTGGGCGTAAATGTTATAAACAACTATTTCATAATTTCAGCTCTAGACAGATTTTAATTGAAATGTGTCATTTTTTTCAGATTTAAAATGATCCATGACAATTGGACATCTAGGCTAAAATTAGAATCTTATTACAAGAACTCTAATGATTCTCATATAACCGCAAATCGGTAATACAGTGGTGTAGATTGTAAGTATTATTGTATTTAAACACGTTTACGATGACAAACAGAAGCCAATGTAGTCAGAAAGAGAACCATTGCTGATGAGAGCTTTTGATCAAACATTTTTGGGAGATGCATTGTTGCAATTACAAATATACTATATACAGTTATGAAGATATGTTCTTTCAAACTTCATTTACAGAGTAAAATACGTTGTTTTATCTCCAAGTAGCACACAAGAAATGGAAAATTTAATTCTGTTTGGAGAAATTTAAGGATGTAAATCTACTCTAAAAGACAATATTTAATTCAGTTTGTGTATTTTACTCTCTAAGATCACGAAGACAAAATATGGAACAAGATAACTTCTAAACTTCAATATTTTCTTGTAAATCTAGCTCTGTAAAATATATCCTATTGGTTAAAATTGAAAAGAAGGTGGTTTCCAATGCCTTAAAATTAAAGAAATCATGTGTAAATTTCAAATTTCCCGAGTACATTATAAAATTATATTCACTAAAAGAGTGGCAGAGTACAAACTGCCGAAAAAGTCCCAACTTTCACCAGTGTAATAGATTAGAAAAGTGGCAGATATGAAATAGTCTATAACGACAGATCAACATCTTGAAACATCCCGAAATCATACTATTTTTTCCATTCAATCAAATTAGGTTTTACAGTACTGAAAATGCAAATATAGGTAATATAGCTTTATATTTCAACTTATCCTAATAAGCAATTGACAAATCACTGGCTTGCATCCAATTATATTTAATAAGATAAAATAGCAGCCTCTCATGTATTCAAATAATGCTCATAACTGTATGTCCAAAATAAAGGGAAGGAGCATTATTTAAGCATTAGGAGAGACATAAATTACAATATAAACATCATGCATAAAACTTCTTAGCAATTTTGTTGTGCCACTTGGCACAGCAAGAATGTTCCTTAAACATATAAGTGCAGGTCATAAGAAAAGTGAGCCTTTCATGACTTGCTCTGTCTTCTCAGTGTTTATTCCTTTCGTGATAAACATTTTCTCCTCGGGTTATTTATATAGATCTGAAAAGGAACCATATGGCTTAATGTGAGCAGCCAGAGCTATCAATCAGAAAAAAAAGAAAAACCAACACTGCCAACATACTGAAATAAACCTATTCTACTAAGGCTAAATATAAATGATTTGCATGTAATCTGAAGAAATATTAAACTGAAATCAACATGCATAATTAATTCATTAACTACTTAAATAATTAAGAATATATCTGTAATTGTAGATATATATAACTTTTCAATCTAATTGGCATATGAAGATTTTCTAAAATGGAGGGCCAATTTCATGAAAAATTTACACAGGATTGGGGATTTATTTCTACATTTTAAGGAAATACAAACTGTAGTATCTTTCTTATATGAAAGAATAAAATATGAAACCTTTTCTTACTTTCTAAAAAGGTCATGAATCACTTTGGAAAATCAATTTGGTTCTTTGAAATTCCAATAACAATCTAAATCTTCCAAGCTTCCTCACGCTAAGAATTAACATTATTTCTATATTAACCTTTCTCCAGCCTCTCCTCCCTCCAATATCTTGCTATTCTGATACACTGCATGAGGGAAGGTAATTATAATCTTGAGAACTCTATAATGATTGGCTGTCTCATATCTTACCGTCCAAGGCTCAAGCATTGTTCCAGAACAAAGAACTCTCATAGGTGAAACCAGTAATTATATATTTTCTAAGTTAAACAGTCCATTTCGTCCTCAAATGTCTGTTTGTGGAAATCATGGGGCAGAGAAATTTTAGTCATGAGTAAATTTTCTTGAAGACTGGGATCATATTTTGTTTTAGCCAATTACAAAGAAAATATATCTATCACTAGTTTTAAATATTCTTTTGAGAAATGTTTGAAGTATTACAATTTTGTTTTTTTGTATAACTGCATTCAATTATACAAAAAAAAAAGTTTTATCGAGGTTTTACATATGTTTGAAAATTACAAATTCTCTATTTATAATCAAACTTTTTCTTGACTTTCTGTGAAAGAAATATCCATTTGGCCTCTAAAAAAGTTACTGTAGTGAAAATGTAATGAATTTTCTTCATCAAATAAAAATTCCAAAGAAGGTCAATTAAAAGAAGAAACTGTATAGATAATCATTCAAACATTTTTCATACATATTATAATATATGCTTAAGATTGTAATTATTATAACAGTATTAAAATATTTTATATGTAGTCTTATTGTCTGTTTAAGGATTAAGCAAAATTACCCCATTTTTATCATGGCTGAAAATTTTTAAAGTTACTGAATAAAAAAAAAATTCTTTATATTATTTGGTCATTGGTACTTTAATTAAGACTTGGTTAAAAATTGGTTAGTGTCAGTGTCCTCAGAAGTCTAAGTCAATTTTATCTATTGTAATTCACATAACTACAATACTTGTATTATCTAGTATTAGGTAACTATTTCGTGTTGATCATGTAGTTATGGATAATATCAATGGGGACTGGGAAGATGATGGTAGAGTTCTTTTCTGCAGAGATGGTGCTGAGGGTTTGCAAGTAACGGAGCTGAAACACAGATTAAACAAGAAATAGAAAAAATTCAGTAATGTACAACATATTTGAAGCAATACAAATCCTTTCACATAACTCAATTACTATAAAAACAAATTTTCTTATTTAAGGCTAAGTATTTGAAATGTTTTTCATACAACTTAGACTAGTCACATGCCCACACGCACACCCACATATCCCCACTCCACATACACATATGTAACTAAACATAAGTAATTACTTATACATTATAGTATTAACGCCAAAAACAGCAGTACCACACACAAAAAAGGCTTTCAACAATTCAAAAATAAATCAAAATGACTCGAACATATACATATGGGAGTTCAATATAAGAACATTGAGCGCTATTGTGCAATACAACTGACACATGCAAAGAAAGACGAGAATTTCCACAGATTTGCTCATCAGGCAAAATACCTGAGCTACAAGAACAGGTTTAATGAACTAATGACACTGGAGGCTGAAAGAATCCTAGATAACAAGGACACAGTGGTCATGATGCTCTGGGTTACCAGCATAACCAACCCAGTGACACTATCGTGAACCCGACACAAATGATAGGTAACTCCTAGAATATGAATCAAAAGACATAAAATGGAACATCTGCACTGACTGATAGTGTATGTATGTGTGTTTGTGTGTGTGTGTGTGTGATGATGATGTGTGGTGTGTGTGTGTGTGTGATGTGGTGTTGAGTGTGTGTGTGTGGTGGTGTGTGTGGTGTGTGCGTGTGTAGTGTGTGTGTGTGTGGTGTGTGTGTGAGATGTGTGTGTGCGTGTGGTGTGTGTGATGTGTGATGTGTGTGTGTGTGTGTGTGTGTGTGTGTGTGTGTGTGTGTGTGTGTGCGTGTGTGTGTGTGTGTGTGTGTGTGTGTGTGTGTGTGTGTGTGTGTGTGTGTGTGTGTCTGTCTGTCTGTCTGTCTGTCTGTCTGCCTGTCTGTCTGTCTGTTTCTCATAGTTAATATATTCATGAGAGGACAGCTAAACCCGTATGATGCATTATAAAGCGACGGGAAGAATAGGAGGCAAACACGTTTAATCCAAGGAAGAGGAGAGTCGGTTCAATTTTTTGGAGCAAAATCCCTCGTCAAGGAACCTCCTCAGAGAACATACTCAGAACACCCACATTTTAGAAAGACAAAAGCCAAAATGATGAATGTTTCTAGTCCTTTACTTGGATCCTCTAGAGAGCAGAATATGTACAATATAAAGTAACGAAGAACAATTTATATACAGTTCAGGTGCGACTGTGTCAACCTTCATAATAACTGCACCCACCACTACCTTAGTTATAAGGTCAAGCCTCCGCTCTCCTCACATATTAAAATTCGGAGTGCCTTTTATATTTCTTTTGTAGCTCGTATTTGTGTAGCGGAGTCTTTTTAATCCCCACTCATTACTGCCATTATTATCTTGGTTGTGCTGAAATATAGCAAATATATTATGAGCACATTACTCTGCTTTATTTGTGTTCATATAATCCAGCACTGAAACATCGTACTGTCTGCAATAAAAATACCAGATCTCATTCCTTGCATGGTAGCGTATGTTTCATCATATAAAATTCGATACACAAGATGCACCTAAATTTTAGAGAATGTTTAGATTTTTGCAAGTTTACATTTATATAAATATTTAATTTGCAAATACTGGTTCCACAGCCACAAAGTGAGGAAAAAAAACACTGAGAAAGAGGTAGTGAGGATTGTTATTTAATTTACTTGAATTGTCGCCTGTAAAAATTACATTACTCTTCTTACACATTAATCATAACAATGTAGAGAGTCTTTAGATATGTGAAGATGTTTTGTATGTTGTGGTGGATAGTGTGTGTTGTGAGTGAGGCCAAGTTGTGGGAGCGTGTGGGGGAAAGTTGAGGGTGGGAGCATGTGGTGGGAAGTTGAGGGTGGCAGCGTGTGGTGGGAAGTTGAGGGTGGCAGCGTGTGGTGGGAAGTTGAGGGTGGCAGCTGTGTGGGGAAGTTGAGGGTGGGAGCATGTGGGGAGAAGTTGAGGGTGGAGCGTGTGGTGGGAAGTTAACGGTGGGAGCATGTGGTGTGAAGGTGAGGGTGGGAGCATGTGGGGAGAAGTTGATGGTGGAGCATGTGGTGGGAAGTTGAGGTGGGAGCATGTGGTGGGAAGTTGAGGGTGGGAGCATGTGGTGGGAAGTTGAGGGTGGGAAGCGTGGTGGTGGGAAGTTAACGGGTGGGAGCATGTGGTGTGAAGGTGAGGGTGGGAGCATGTGGGTGAGAAGTTGATGGGTGGGAGCATGTGGTGGGAAGTTGAGGGTGGGAGCATGTGGTGGGAAGTTGAGGGTGGGGAGCATGTGGGAGAGGAAGTGTTGAGGGTGGGAGCATGTGGTGGGAAGTTGAGGGTGGGAGCGTGTGGTGGGAAGTTAACGGTGGGAGCATGTGGTGTGAAGGTGAGGGTGGGAGCATGTGGGGAGAAGTTGAGGGTGGGAGCATGTGGTGGGAAGTTGAGGGTGGGAGCATTTGGTGGGAAGTTGAAGGGTGGGAGCATTGTGGGGAGAAGCTGAGGGTGGGAGCATGTGGTGGGAAGTTAAGGGTGGGAGCATGTGGTGGGAAGTTAAGGGTGGAGCATGTGGTGGGAAGTTGAGGGTGGGAGCGTGTGGTGGGAAGTTGAGGGTGGGAGCATGTGGGGAGAAGTTGAGGGTGGGAGCATGTGGTGGGAAGTTAAGGGGTGGGAGCATGTGGTGGTAAGTTGAGGGTGGGAGCATGGGGGAGAAGTTGAGGGTGGGAGCATGTGGTGGGAAGTTGAGGGTGGGAGCATGTCGTGGGAAGTTGAGGGTGGGAGCGTGTTGTGGGAAGTTGAGGGGGGGAGCATGTGGGAGAAGTGAGGGTGGGAGCATGTGGTGAAGTTAAGGGTGGGAGCATGTGGTGGGAAGTGAGGGTGGGAGCATGTGGGGAGAAGTTAGGGTGGGAGCGTGTGGTGGGAAGTTGAGGGTGGGAGCATGTGGGGAGAAATTGAGGGTGGGAGCATGTGGTGGGAAGTTAGGGTGGAGCATGTGGTGGAAAGTTGAGGGTGAGAGCATGTGGGGAGAAGTTGAGGGTGGGAGCATGTGGTGGGAAGTTGAGGGTGGGAGCATGTGGGGAGAAGTTGAGAGTGGGAGCATGTGGTGGGAAGTTAAGGGTGGGAGCATGTGGTGGGAAGTTGAGGGTGGGAGCATGTGGGGAGAAGTAGAGGGTGGGAGCATGTGATGGGAAGTTGAGGGTGGAGCATGTGTGTGGGAACTTTAGGTTGGAGCGTGTGGTGGAAGTTGAGGGTGGGAGCATGTGGGGGAAAGTTGAGGGTGGAGCATGATGGTGGAAGTTGAGGGTGGGAGCGTGTGTGGTGGGAAGTTGAGGTGGGAGCGTGTGGTGGGAAGCTGAGGGTGGAGCTGTGGTGGGAAGTTGAGGGTGGAAGCATGAGGTGGGAAGTTGAGGGTGGGAGCGTGTGGTGGAAGTTGAGGGTGGGAGCAAATGGCGAGAAGTTGAGGGTGGGAGCATGTGGTGGGAAGTTGAGGGTGGCAGCATGTGGTGGGAAGTTGAGGGTGGGAGTACGTGTGGGGGAAGTTGAGGGTGGAGCTATGTGAGAGTTGAGGTGTGGGGAGCATGTGGTGGTAATGTTGAGGTGTGGGTAGCGTGCGGGAGTAATTGAGGGTAGATGTGTGTTGTGGGAAGTTGAGGGTGGGAGCGTGTGAGGAGTAATGTTGAGGGTGGAGTATGTGGTGTGAAGTCACATGCTTGTAGTGTGATGGTAAGTCACACATGGTTGTAATGTGATGGTAAGTCACACATGGTTGTAATGTGATGGTAAGTCACACATGGTTGTAGTGTGAGGGTAAGTCACACATGGTTGTAGTGTGATGGTAAGTCACACATGGTTGTAGTGTGATGGTAAGTCACACATGGTTGTAGTGTGATGGTAAGTCACACATGGTTGTAGTGTGATGGTAAGTCACACATGGTTGTAGTGTGAGGGTAAGTCACACATGGTTGTAGTGTGATGGTAAGTCACATATGGTTGTAGTGTGATGGTAAGTCACACATGGTTGTAGTGTGAGGGTAAGTCACACATGGTTGTAGTGTGATGGTAAGTCACACATGGTTGTAGTGTGATGGTAAGTCACACATGGTTGTAGTGTGAGGGTAAGTCACACATGGTTGTAGTGTGATGGTAAGTCACACATGGTTGTAGTGTGAGGGTAAGTCACACATGGTTGTAGTGTGATGGTAAGTCACACATGTGTTGTAGTGTGATGGTAAGTCACACATGGTTGTAGTGTGAGGGTAAGTCACACATGTTGGTTGTTAGTGTGATGGTAAGTCACACATGGTTGTAGTGTGATGGTAAGTCACACATGGTTGTAGTGTGATGGTAAGTCACACATGGTTGTAGTGTGGTGACAGGTTATGTAGAAACGTACATCATCCATAAATAACCAATACTTAAATGAGGAAACTCATGACGACGTTACAGCGTATCCGAAACTAATATCAAGAAACTTGACAATGGTCTTAAGTGTGGGGTAACTAGACAAGTGTTCCATCCACTGGTCTTAAGTGTGGGGTAACTAGACAAGTGTTCCATCCACTGGTCTTAAGTGTGGGGTAACTAGACAAGTGTTCCATCCACTGGTCTTAAGTGTGGGGTAACTAGACAAGTGTTCCATCCACTGGTCTTAAGTGTGGGGTAACTAGACAAGTGTTCCATCCACTCGTCTTAAGTGAGAGGTTACTAGGCAAGTTTTCCATCCACTGGTCTTAAGTAAGGGGTTACTAGGCAGGTGTTCCATTCACTGGTCTTAATTGAGGGGTTACTAGGCAATTGTTCCATCCACTGGTCTTAAGTGAGAAGTTAGTAGGCAATTGTTCCATCCACTGGTCTTAAGTGAGGGGTTACTTGGCAATTGTTCCATCCACTGGTCTTAAGTGAGGAGTTACTAGGCAGGTGTTCCATTCACTGGTCTTAATTGAGGGGTTACTAGGCAATTGT